TGATTTTGATGCTCTAACCACCATTAAATGCGTCTTGACAAGCTTTACAAAAGTTTCTTAAGCAAAAAAAGATAATTAACTTAGTATGAAAAAAAAGTTTATCTTGGGCGAACACCATATTCGCACTATAGTAAATTTATATAGTAATCTGAGTCACATTTTACTAAGATCATGCACCAGTTGATTGGAGAATCATCAATTAAATTAATATATTGAATAAATACAGAATTATTGTTGATATGAAATTAATACTTAATTAATATACTAAATGGTTACAGAATTATTGTTAATATGAAATTTTTTTTTTTGAATCTTTGACAGTCTTGCTAGTGCTTAATTTATTGCAACTATATTCAGGTGAGAGCTGAGCTCTCTCGAACAATACATATATTATTTATAACCACAAACAGAGAGTTACCACAATAGCGAGCCTGACATTATCCAGTTGCGATAAATGTGCCTATATGCAACTTGTTATACCAACTTGTATACAAGTTAGATAAACTTTATCAGCCTGTCAAAGCTTTTCCCTTCATATTTCCTTTTTTTACCGAGAGCAAAAGAAAGTGATAATCTTATACAAAACCACTAATACTACCAAGAAAACAAAATGAAAACCTAACTAAAAAAACAAATAGAATGAAGGAGTATTTTTAAAGAAAAAAAAAGAGGATACAGTGAGATGTAAAAAAAAAAAATACAAAAAAAAAAGCCCAAGAGCTGACAAAGGGGAAACTACCTCTATAAAGAAAATAGTATAAGGAAAACAAGAGAAAAAACAAAACAAAAAATACACTATTATAACCCATGCCAGGTTTAAGAAAAAATTTTATAACAATTGCAATATTTGTATATCTCGATTACACTATAAGAACTTTAATATCCAACTACCAGCCACCTCTGGATGCCTCTTATGTCAAAGACCCGATCCCAGTCACGTGGAGGACCCATATTTATAGATTATATCGCATATCTAGTGTCTGAAATTGGGTTGTGGAGTCTGCAGACCACAACAAAGTTTTAAATTCCCACAACCAAAAGCTAAAGTCCACATACAGATTTCACATATAAATTTGCAAAATTTACCTATAAATTTCGATTAAATGTTCATATACACAACTTAATTTTTATAATTTTTATAATCCGCAAGTCGTTTTTTTTAATTGGCTGCAGCCTGCAACTAATTTAAAAATTGAATTTCAGACACTGTGTGTATCGTATCCACCAATAAACAAGGCACATGGTTGCATTCCTGAGTACATCTGAATTTGGAAGGTAAACAATGCTGATCTTTTGAAGGGGGTAAGCTGAATCGCCCACTTTTTGTCAAAAATTTTGGAGAAGACCAACAGGACCAAGAGAGACTTGAGGAAAGGACCACTAGCACCCAACAAGAGTATTTTATCCTTAAAAGAATTGACAACTAGTAACTCTTTTTCTAGAAAAGGAAAAGAGCTACTGTACTTGCTTTTTGGTAAGTGATAAACTTTGGACTTGTTAGCAAATAGTGTATGAGAACTACTTCTAAATGCCAAGTGCTGTATTAGCAGTGAGTGATAAACTCTAAAGAAGTTGGCGGATAGTGTATGAGAACTACCTCTAAATAACAACTGCTAACTTATAGTTTCTAGTTTTATGCTCTTTATTACTTACTAGTTACTGTTTTTTACAAAAAATGTTTGAGAAATTTTGGTTTTAGTAATCATTAGAAAGAGTTCAACAAATCAGTTTTTCTCTAGATTTTATTATATCAATATCTTTTTTGTTTTTAATTAAACTTGTTTAGCATCAAATTTTATATATAATTGCAAAAAAATTTTAACTATTTTCTTAATTTTTTTTAAGTTAGTTTTAATCTAAAGAAAATTAATAAATTTTGTTTATTTTTTTTATAAATAATGATTTGTGAAATAGGTGAGCATGGCCTTTTGTTGATCTAGCAGATAATCCCCTAGCAAGTTAGGAGCCAATAGGAAGATAAATTAGTAGATAGATGGTTATACATAGGCATCTTAGAGCAGCTGTATGATGCTTTATACACAAATGGGATATGGTAAATCTAGAAACTATAACACTGTGGGGGAGGAACCTGGGATATATATAAATATATATATAGACTAGGCTGCTGTACTACTATATAAATACTTACTATTTAAATATAATAAAGTGGCTACCATTGAACCTAAAAAAAAAATAATTTGCAAAATTAGCCAATTATATTAAGATACGATATATGGACAGTCAAAAGTAGAAACTGACGAATTTGGCAAATTGTTTATTTTGAAATAAACAAAAAAACTATTTAGTTACATTAAATCAAAACAGTCTAAAAATAGATATTTCCCTATTACTAACAAGTTCCAAACAAGAAATGTAATTTGAATTTCTAACGAATACTAATACTATACTAATAGTATACTATTCTAACAAATTTCAAACTCTCTTGGACTGAGTGAATACTAATACTAAGTTCTGGATTTTTCAAATTCTCTTAGACCGGTTGAGTACTAATACTAAGTTCTGGATTTTACAAATTCTCTTAGACTGGTTGAATACTAATACTAAGTTCTGAATTTTTTAAATTCTCTTGAACCGGGTGAATACTAAGTTCTGGTTTTTCAAATTCTCTTGGACCGGGTGAATACTAAGTTTTGGATTGTTCAAATTCTCTTGTACCAGATAGGAACTAAGTTTGATTTTTCAAATTCTCTTGGATTGAATAGATATTAGACCTTGGATTTTTCAAATTCTCTTGAACCGGGTAGATACTAAATCTTTAATTCTTCAAAATTCTCTTGAACTGGTGGATACCCCAGTATTAATCTCAAATTTTTCAAATTCTCTTAGACCAATGGATGCTGTTACCGTTATATTTGACTTGTAGATCCTCTATGATTTGTACCCAGGTGGTATAAAATTTCAAAGATTGGCAAAACGAAGCGAACAGATACCCCGGGTATAGTGCCGGTCTTTGTAAATGCCTTTCAACAATAGATCTCTTGGCTCTCGCATTGATGAAGAATGCAGCTAAATACGAAGGGTAATATGAATTGCAAAATTTCGTGTACTATTATATGGGAGAGCATAGTATAATAATGTCCAATTGAACTCCCAATAGTAACTCAAATGTATCTTTAATATAAGATAGGTTCAGCATGACCGACTTTATAATAAAAAACTTGTAATTCCATGTGGATAAGCCACTTTTTTTTTTTGGTTATTACCATTACAAGTTAATTACTTAAATGTGTTTGATCACAATTAAGTAATAAGAGCAAAATTAATTAATTGCATCACTAATATTAATAATCAGAAAATATGTCTTATAAGCGTAATGATTACAAAATTGAATAAAAAATGTAATAATAATTGTATCATTACTGAGTTTCAGATTTTCAAATTCTCTTGGACCGGGTACTAATCTTAGATTTTCAAATTCTCTTGGACCAGGTGAATACTAAGTTTTGGATTTTTCAAATTCTCTTGCACCAGGTAGAAATTATTACTAAATTATGGATTTTTCAAATTCTCTTGGACCAGTGGATACTAATACTAAGTTCTGGATTTTTCATATTCTCTTGAATTTTTCAAATTTTCTTGTACCGGGTGGGAAATATTACTAAATTATGAATTTTTCAAATTCTCTTAGGCCGGGTGGATACTAATACTAAGTTCTGGATTTTCAAATTCTCTTGGACCGGGTGAATATTAAGTTCCAGATTGTTCAAATTCTCTTGGACCAGTGAATACTAATACTAAGTTCTAAATTTTTCAAACTCTCTTAAACTGGTTGAATACTAAGTTATGGATTTTTCAAATTCTCTTGGACCGGATAAGTACTAAGTTTTGGATTGTTTAAATTCTCTTGGACCGGGTGAATACCAAGTTATGAATTTTTCAAAATTTTTTGTACCGGGTGGTGGAGAATATCACTAAATTATGGATTTTTCAAATCCTTAATACTAAGTTCTGGATTTTTCAAATTCTCTTGGACCGGGTGAATATTAAGTTCTGGATTGTTCAAATTCTCTTGGACCGGTGAATACTAATACTAAGTTCTAGATTTTTTAAATTCTTTTAGACCGGTTAAATATTAAGTTCTGGATTTTTCAAATTCTCTTAGACCGGGTGAATATTAAGTTTTAGATTTTCAAATTCTCTTGGACTGGGTGAATGCTAAGTTATGAATTTTTCAAATTCTCTTATACTGGATAGGTATTATTACTAAATTATAGATTTTTTAAATTCTCTTAGGCCGGGTAGATACTAATACAAAGTTCTAGATTTTTTAAATTCTCTTGTACTGGGTAGAAACTATTACTAATTCTGGATTTCTATTTGGCCGGGTGGATACTAATACTACAGTAGATTCTGAATTTATCAAATTTTCTTGGACTGGGTAAATACTAAGGAATTTTTCAAATTTTCTTGTACTGGGTGGAAACTAATACTAATTCTGGATTTCTATTTGGCCAGATGGATGCTAATACTAAGTTCTAGATTTTTCAAATTCTCTTGGACTGGGTGAATATTAAGTTTTGGATTGTTTTTGGACCGGATGAACAATAATACTAAGTTTTAAATTTTTCAAATTCTCATAGACTGGCTGAATACTAAGTTCTGGATTTTTCAAATTCTCTTGGACCAGGTGAATACTAAGTTTTGAATTGTTCAAGTTTTCTTGAACCAGGTGAATACTAAGTTATGAATTTTTTAAATTTTCTTGTACTGAGTGGTATTATTATTAAATAGATTTCTTAGGCTGGGTGATACTAATACTAAATTCTGGATTTTTCAAGTTCTTTTGGACTAGGTGAATATTAAATTTTGAGTTTTTCAAATTCTCTTGTACCGGGTAGAAACTATTACTAATTCTGGATTTTTTAGATTCTCTTAGGCCAGGTGGATACTAATACTAAGTTCTGGATTTTTCAAATTCTCTTGGGCCAGGTAAATACTAAGCTTCTAGATTTTCTAAATTCTCTTGGACCAAATAAATAATAATACTAATTTCTGGATTTTCAAATTCTATAGACTGGTTGAATACTAAGTTTTAGATTTTTCAAATTCTCTTAGATTAGATGAGTACTAAGTTCTGGATTTTTTAAATTTTCTTTGGCCGGGTAAATACTGATACAAAGTTTTTGAATTTTTCAAAATTTTTTTAAATAGGTAGATATAGTTATCAAAGTTTAGATTTTAAAATTTTTTTATACTAGATGTATATTATTTTCAAATTAATTTTTTTAGATTTTTTGAATTTATTAGGATTGTTATAATATTCTAAAATTTTAAATTAT